GGGGGTGCCCCCCCCGCCGGGGGCCCCCCAGCGTCTCTGCTGGCTCCGCTGCCTCTCCGCCGGCTTCTCCCCCACGCAGGGAAAAACAGCCTTGTCGCAAACGTGCTGAGGTACTTCCACGGCTGTACTACTGCAGCGTCTCCCTGTCGAGTCACTGTCAAGTCGGAGTTCAATTAAGACTGATTTTAAAATATTTTTTTCTAGGTTTCTTTTTCCTGCTTGAGCTCTTAGTTGTGGTTTCCCCCCCCCTCGCTATCGCGATAACATCTCTTGTCAACGAAAAATCCGCCACCTACTGTAAATGTTAGTAACTAGTCTCCTCTACCTGAGAAAGTAGCTGGACAAAGCTTTTCCAGTTCCACAGCATCCGTATCCATTTTGTAGATGTCAATTTTGGTGGCTGTCCTTGTGTTTACATCTGTAGCAACCGCGGCGATAATTCCCAGTAACGTGCTATTGTGGCAACCGTTTTAACCCTGTCTAGAAAAAATAAAGCCGTAGCTTGAGCTGAAGAGCTGCTCTGTGTAATTTGAGGCTGCGTGCTAGATTATTTGGGCAGAGAGGGGTCACGTAGCACAGCAGGTCACAACCCGCAAGTCTGAACTGACACAAAACCTGCCGCACTAGCAGTATTTTAATAGCGTTACAAGCAGCTACGCTCATTTCCTGAGCAAAGTATTTTGCTCTTCTTTTTCCCAGCTTAATCATCTGGTTGATGCATTTTGGTTTATCAGTTGTAATTTTCAGTTTTAACGTTCTGACTTGGAAAGACCTCAAATATACCTCCTCCCACAGCATCCTAAAAGGGGCTATTCTTAGAACAGGGCCGCTAATGCAAAAAGTCTCACGTAGGCTGGACACCAGCTTTAATATTGGCTACAAGGGTACAAGTTAAAGCCAGAATGGAATTGCTTTCCCAAACCGACTATTTTCACACACTTCAACATCTGAACTGAGTTGTTGTACAGTAGATTTTACAACCGAGGTAGTTAGAATAATAATGGCTAAATTTTGGGGGTCACAAACCCCCAAAATTTCCCATCCCTCAGTCTGCACAGTTAGCATTAACCCTTTAGCTGAGAACGTTACTTGAGATTTTGTGCTCCAGCACTGCAGGATGACGGTTTGGGAGCTGCTAGGATCCTCTAACAGCGCGCCTGGAAGAAGACCCATTCGCTTCCTGGCAGCAGCGCTGGCGCTGGTTTAATGCCGCGGTGAACTGCTCGTTTTCTGCCAGTTCAGTTCTGTGAGCCGCTTCTAATTTAAGTGACAGCGCTCGTACAGACACCGCTGTTGGCACAAAGGAAGCGGGAATAGCTGCTCGGGGGTGAAGAGGCCAGCAAGACTACTCGCTCCTTTGGGGAACGGTTGGTTAGATGATTCATCCGGAGCGTGAAGCTGCACTTGAGCGCAAAGACCGATTTTAAATTACCAGGGAAGTGAACTGAACCCTGCGTTTGCACTAAAACAGCGGCAAAACCCCCTCATATGTTCTGTTGCGATGATTTTAGGTGGGATAATCACGAAACGGCTCTAAGGAAGCAGCCTAAGGGGGAGGCTGCAACGTACTGAATTGCTGCAGCTGCTTACAAACACCATATCTGAGACTATTAGATAGATCCCTTTGTATTGTGTTTGTATACGACCTGCCAAAACCAGGTGGCGGACAACCACTTAGGCTTTTAGGTGCTGTGGCGATACAAGTAATTAATAATAATCAGGAAACATGAAGGCAATCATGTGAATACATTAAAACAAACAGCAAAAAGAGGCTGAAATTCTCTTAAGCAATCACAGCTCCATTGATGTTCTCACATTGTTCAAACGGAACAAGAAGCCTTCACTTGAAGACGCTACAGAGCTGGGTTTTCAGCTGCTGAGGACACACTTCAATTTTTACAAATTATTTTATCAGGTAGAACTGCGAGGAACAAAAATGCAGAAAATGGATCTAAAATTCTTAAATTGTCACCATTGTGGCAGTTATGTAAAGCTGTTTGGTTTCTCCGTCAGTTCGGTGATTTGCTTAATATGATATGAGACCTGGTTATTTTGACCTAATTCATTTTTATTATCGAATTCTTTATACAAATCCCTTTTAAGACAAAACTAATCTATATAAATTCTACCACTAATATTTTAACTACCTTCAAAATCAAATTCTCAGATGTTAATCCAAAGTTTTCATGCTTGCTTCTTGCTTCAGCTTTTTATGTCTCTCTGAATCGATTCTTCATAGTAATCCCTCTTAGCTGTCCATTACCTTTATCCATTTACTTCATCATTTCTTTCTTATCCTTTAATCTGCCTACCACTTTTTATCCCCCCATCTCGTTAATAGTGTTTCATTAGAAACTCGGTCCTTCGGTTACATAACTTTTCTTCTTGAAGTTGGTCCCTTTTTCTCATTTCAGTTGTAAGGTTTCATGCACCTTTAAGTTAAAGCTTCCTAATTTCTCTCATATTGAGCACAGTGCTCCTTTGCCCATGACCTCCGACATGCTTCTCATGTAATTTCTCCCCTAGTGTTTAAAGCTATAATGGTAACAAAAGCATCATCCTCTAATTCTCTTGCACAATATAGTTAGGAATTAGCCTAACCCTAATCCTTATAGCTCGGTTAATGGGAATCAGAAACTTTGGGATAGAGAAGAAAGCAACTTTCCATAGCCCTTATCCACAGAGCTTTGAAAATACACGCCTGTTCTTGATGAAAGAGCAGTTTCTCTCCAGGTCATCCCAAATGGAAAGAAGTGTAAATGCAGCACCCACGCAGAGACATGACAGACAAAGCCTCTGATGAGAAGCCACAATTTTTTTTTAATTCCTTTTTTTAAAAATTATTATTATTGGCCAAGCTTCTTGAAACAAATTGTAAAATTCAAAGTAAAAACTATATCGGAAGATTTAAAGTACATAAAGTACTATGCTCAATAATTGCCATATCATGTGCTGCACATACATTTTCAGTTGGTCAAATAAAACCGACCACATACCCAGACAGACTTTTTTGAATTGTTGATAACCTGCCATTGATTTCTGTTGACAAAACAGACATTAGATGCAAAATCTTTCAAAATAAGGTATGCTATTGAAGTGACCAAACACAGATCCAGTTAACTAAACCAAAGTAAATGCCTCTGAACATTTTGGATTCAATATGCTTGTCAGTGGAGCACTACATGTAAAGATTATTTTTCCAAATAAAATGGGAAAGTATATTTACCTTCTGTTTATGCAAGGAAGTACGTTTCGTTCGTTAAGACAACACCTTGATAATGTATACTGTTTTGGCACATGGCACCACCGCAGCTATTTCATGTATCATATCTGGATCATCAGTTCATCTTCAGCGTTAAAGGATTTAAACCTGCAAAATGGTAAGCAACCACAGTTGTCAGTAATTTCTTCAGGAGCGGAGAGACCTCAGCATCTCACATGATCAGACTTAATCACTAGTAATTATACATCCCCTTAAGCTTTCCAGCCACAATTTTAATGGCAGAAAAAATATTGAGTTATTGGAGGAGCTGTAGACTTGACTTCACAACCCCTTAATTTATACATAATGTCATCCACCTTGGACTAGAGTACTTTATTTCAGTAATATGCTCTGTAGCTGGAATTACTTCTCATCCTATTGCTTTTCTAAGAATGCTGTCACTTAACTCTCTGGGATTTCAACGTCCACCACCATATTTGCATTATTTTTAACTCGTCAAATTTTATTTTACTCTCAGATCACCTTTTGGTAAGATCTGAGATACAGACATTTTTACTTTAGAAAACATTTTATTGATTTAAACTACCCAGTCTTATTTGAAAACTCTAATGAATTAACTTTTGGAAATATAATTGAAGTATTAGAAAGTAAGTTCAGTGGACTGGGCGTATTACCAAGGCTTTAAACTTTAGCTGCTAGAGAAACTCTGGTGCCTCCTCTATTAAGTGTGTAAAAACATCACTGGAAATAAAGAAAATTGTGTATTTTGCAGTATGTGTAGAGGTTATTATAGTTTAAAATGTAATGCCAAAGGTTTGAGTAAGACATCAGTCTTGTAGAGACATGTCAGTAGCAGGAGACACTCACTGCAATTTGTACACAATAAAAATGATGAAAAATTAATCTGATAGGGGGTTGGGTGGTTTGGTTGTTTTTTTTCTTCTCAGATGGCACTAATCTTTTTGGATCGTAATGACAGATTATAATTTGTTCTGCCAATAAGAACCACTCCAAAACAGATTTAGGGGAACTGGAATGAGCAAAGTTCGTAAGAGAATAATCCCTAGCTAGAAATTTAATAAACGTCTCTAGAACTTCAGGCGACCCACCGCATTTTATGTCTGTGTTCAGTGTATCGTTATTCAGTTTAATGTAGCACTGATTAAGAGAGACAATGCATTGAATTATTGTATTTCTCTTCAAAGAAGCATTTGATTTTGGAACAGATTCGTATTTTTGTCATTGTTTCCTGTAACAGTCATCCCATGAAACTTTCTGGCACAGCAGACTTTGAATCCAGTGAAGAACAACAATGCTTTTTCTTTAAAACTAAGTTTTAATCTCAAGTCCTGTGTGCTTACATGTGATCATAGCATCTTTCCAGGTGAGAACATTTGCAATTTAAAAAAAAATTTTTTTTAAGGTTTCTCCCCCAGATAAGGGTATCAGATCAGCTTACTAAAATCCTTGTTGTTGAGATAATAGAGAGTTTGGTGGCTGTTAGCAGCTCAGGCCAGTTGCAAAGCTAGTTATTACAGGAGATAGAGCAACTTCTGCAACAAGAACTTCCACATTCCCAATTATTTCTGCTTTTATATAAAGGAGACATTTACTTCCCTACTATTCCCCAACCACTGCAGTAACATACAAAGAAGAGAAAAAAATGAGGAAGAAGAGAGTAGTGCAGCTGCTGGAGTCTACTACTCTCCCTGACAGTGCCCACTACCTCGTTTTGTGATTTGGAGGGGATCCTGGTCCCCTCCAACTCTCCAGAAACGGAAACTAAGACAGGATTTCTTGTCATTGCCAAAGCTAAAAGGAACTTCTTGATATTATTCCACAAACATATTCTTACAAAGGATGAACCACAGGCTAGAAAGGTTAACAGATCTGTAGTAGAGTGCAGAAATAATATGGAATACTTTGGAAGGCAAGAGTACTTCTTCAAAGGTCACAAATTATATCTCTTCAAGAGGAAAATGCAAATATCGTGAAGACTTCAAGAGCGTACCACTATGAAAAATGTTATTGCAACTTCACAACTCAGTACTGGTTGAACTGGTAAGAGAAGGTACAGCTTACCGTGAACAACAGGGCACTTGTAGTCCCAACACAATACCAAGAATGGTGCCAGCGTAGCTGAAAAAAAAAAAAAAACCAACCAAACAGATGGGAACCCCTTAATCCTCTTTCTCATCATCCTTGACTCTCTCCTAGGTAAATCGACATCTGTTGTCTTGACTCTGTCGACTGCTGAGCATCTCTCGTCTTCCCACACTGCCAACTGCGAGAAGCAGCATTGCACAGCACACCAGTGATTCACGGGAGACACGCACTTACATTCCTCTACTCGTTTTAAATGTAAACTTTTACACCCCTCTCAAGCTTCATGCGTGGTTGCAGCACCTGGTACTTGCCGGTTCAGAAGCATGACTGGGAAGAAAGCCTGTCTTGCTTTAATTTGGCCAAGCTCTCAGATGAGTACTTTTTTCAAACACACCTGTAACCTGCCCAAGACACAGCAGTGACGACATTCTGGCCCCATTAACGGGGAACAGAAAAATTCTTTGCAGCTTCAATAGTACCAACAACATCTGAACATTCTTTTTCAGATTCAGAGGTAATTCACAGGGGAATTAAGCAACAGGGCCACTTTCAGTGGCAGAGAAGTGTATTCCTAAGTGTGGCATAAAGACACTGAAAACTAGGCTGCATAACAAAATACGGAAGACGGATTTTAGAGTGGTTAAACTGCATAAAAACCTTGGATAGAGAAATGTAAATACGTACTCTATGAACAAGATACAGATCCAGAAAAATCTGAGGTGTATAAACAGGGAAAAAAAAATGTAAAATGAGAAAGTGTAACATGATGCTATTTAAAGAGCAAGTCATAATGCAGAAGCATTAGTATAATTAAATTACTGGTTTAAGCTACTGCAAATACACAACGTATGGTATATATTCTGTTACCATTAAGATGCTGAATGTTGTTTATGGCACTGGAAATCTTTACGCTCATCTTTTTAATAATTAACACAGAAGTTAGAGTATTTCCCTGCAATCTAAGAAGTAAGATGGAAGTTAGGGTGACGTGAATGTGTGCAGTTCCAGATACAGGCTACACAGGGGAGAAAACCAGAAGTCCTTATCCCATTGCCAGACGTGCTCTCAAAGGATTACCGTGTATCAAGACTGTATGTAGCAGTGCCACCTGGTGACCGATGCTATGACAAAGTCCTCTTAAAATACTTCATGGTACAGAAATCTATTGTATGAAATAATAGAATTTTTCCTTCTTTTTTAATATGCATATTAAAGCTTACTGTTCCAAAGCTCAGTGTGCGAAGTACAAAACTGACACTGAAATTTCCAATTTTTAAATATGACGATATTTGTAATGTAAACACTAACAGAGTATTTGGAAACAATGGCACCTACACATATTGAACAGCAATGGTTCTCAGGTTAGGGCAGCTAGACCGTAATTAGCCGTAGGAGGAAAATGTATAGGGAAGAGGAAACCCAGAAACACTAAAATTAGCCTTCACGGAGATCAGCAATCTCAGCTTCCTCACTTCCTCAATGACACAAAGTCATAAATAATTAACAGACATATCCCAACAACTCAGTTCAAATGGCAGGTCATTTCTCCACCTCCCCTCAGAAAAGCCTCGGAAACAAGAGTTGGGAAGTCTTTCAAAGCATCCAGGGCTGGTATGAGGAGCGCTGAGCATCATCCCTCTAACATGCGTGCTTCCTCCCGCACTCGAGCACCAGGAGTGGAACCGGATGAGTATGTATGGACAGTGCTCTACAGCAGACACAAAAATAAAGGAAACATTTGGCCAAAATGGCACAGTGGCAAGCAAATCCAGTTGTTTATGAGGTGATGGAGCCCCAGGAAGGGAGGACTGTAGCAGCATACCATGCAAGCTCAACCCAGGTCGGGGCACTCGTTATGTCATGTACTGACCTGCACAGATCTAACTTCCTGATCAAGTGAATGCCCGGCAAGCTAGCAGCCCAACCAACAGTCGTGTAACGTTTTACCAAAAATCTGTCTGGGAAATGAGCAGTACCACGATCAACCACAGGGTACGGGATAGGATAGAGGCTGCTGAATTTTAAGTCTCTCCCCGTGTTGCAAAGGTTCTTCAGAGATGGGGCATTTTTTGCTGCAGGTAGATTAAATGACTTGGGCACTTTTCCGTATTATTCTAGTACCCACAAGGGCTAAACAGAAGAACCCTGCATGCCTCTGCAAAGGAGTGGAAATTACTCTCTCATTACATCCACAGTTGAGAAGGTAATAAAACAGTCAAATACGATAGGGAGCAGGGCAAGCAGGAAGAAGAAACAACATTCTTCCTCTCCCCCAATTTATCATCTCTCTACCTTTGTTTTTAATTGGTCCAAGCGAACGTATCTTCAGGTGTTCCAATAAGAGTGCAAAGGCTTGAAAATGGGAAAGTAAAAAAAAAATAAAGGGGGACGGGCTCACAGTGAACAACAAGGTTACATACCTTTAAAACGTGGTTGAAGAAAGGCAGTACAATTTTGCGGAAGCAGGAACAGAGACATGCTTTTACTTTGGCCGTGACTAGGCCAAAGTATGCAGAAGTTAAATATTTAAAACACTAGCACACAGACATGACTACAGCCATTTGTGCACTCTTTCTGTGCGCCTTTCTCCATTTTTCTACAAAATAGCTTTCTGCAAGTGGGCTGGTGTGTTTGAAACTAATGCAAAAAAAAAAAGTTGTGATAAAGACAACAGACAGTCATTGCCAGGAGATTCCTTCATTATTCCCTCCCTTGGGTTTGTTTACTGTGTAAGACCCTTTCCCCCCCCTCCTTCCTCTTGCTCTGTTTCAGGCAAATGTTGAAAAGAAAAATTGTTTACTTGTCTCCTAAATACAATTAAGGAAAGAAAACCACTTTGATGAAATTTTGCAGGAAATTGCATTAATCTCGTATGTCCCCTGTCTTTTCCTGGTTCAATACAACATTTTGTCTAGTTGTAAGTAATTGATACAAACATTCCTTGCAGCCTGCAGTTATCCCTCAGCTCCCTGGTACCCCACCACAGAGGAAGACCGCTTATGTCTGAACTTCATCCTAATCTAATAAGGAAAGAAGTTTAGTCATAGTCTAGTCCTGAAGTTTACTCACTACAGCATTTATGAGACAGACTTTCATGCAGTAGGCTTAAAACAAAAGACAGACCATCTTTATCTTTGTTACCTACATGTTTAATGACCGTTTGTGGACTTACAAAAATATTCATGTTATACAATTTCATATCAACCAACAAGTAGAATTAGGAACACGCAAGGACTCCTGATTCTCTTTGAAAAGTTCCGGTTTCTGCATGTATAGACAAACAATTCGACAGCTTGTTTGCACATGTTAATATTGCTACCCTGCAAACTGTTAGGTTTTTAGCTTGGTGTTTTTTTGGTTTTGGTGGTTTGTTTTTTTTTTTTTAAACAAAGTACTTAATTCTTCCATTACTCAGTATAGGAATTCCTACTGATAGCAATCAGGACAAATCTCAGCAGTTTGAGTACATAGCCAACTTTCAATCACATCTCCTAGATGTCCATAAACACCCCTGAAAATTCTCAGGCAGTAAACTGGTATAGTACACATGTCCACGCATCTTCCAGCCAGAGTTACAACATGCTGGAGTTCAGGGACATTTCAAAGATATTCATTAATATTTCTAGAATATTTGACTTGACAAAATGTAAGTTAGACTTTCAAAGGCTGCCAACTTTCTCCTCTTGGTGATGGACCAAGCAAAAATGGTAACTGAGTTTCCTCATTACCTTCCAGCATCTACTAAATCATTTCTAGAAGGTAAGACATGATTAATTAAATCTTCTTTTCCATCCAGTTCCAATGAAGGCACAAATATTTCCAGCTATATGAAGAACTTAATTGCATTAGAACAAATGGGAAGTATTTGTAAGGCTCCAGCTTTACTTAAAAAAAAAAGTATTCTTTTTCTGGAACTCTTGCATTGATGTAAACCAATTAATTCACTAGGCCAAAGCATGACAATGTTTTCCAGTTATAGCAGCCTTACAGTCCAACTTTGTATTAAAAAAAAAAAGTCAGCTGCTCAGATCACTTTTACACACACAGAGAGGATTTTTTGCACTATGTTCAGCCCCGAGCCCTTGCAGACAGAATAGGGAAAAGGCAAACAGCAAACGGGAAGTCTGTTCCTGAGACCATTTTGTGACATTCCATTGAGAGGGCCCAGAAAAGAGCAATCTGCTCTCCCCAGCCACAAAGCAAACACCTCGGACTTCAGCAGCACAAAGGAAGTATCATCCAGATCAATGGCCACGGCCCAAAACTTTCATTATCTTTTGTTAAAGCCAACACTGTTTCATTTATTTGGGCTTCTAAGCAACTCCAAGTACTGTTTTTACGCACCATGCATAATGCCCAAACAGTGAGGGTGTATCTCTCTTTATTGAAAGGATTGCAGTATGCAGCACGCACAATGTGCTGCAGTTTATTTTCATGACATAAAAAGGCAGGCATAACCTGTATCAATGACTTTCACAGCCAGCTTCTAAAAAAGTTCATAAAAAATGCAAGTGGGTTAGAAAGGTAGATGTTCTCACTTGAGGGGCCCTGAAATCAGTGAGGAACTGTCACAGCAAAACTGGTTCTGTCTCTACCATTCTGAAGTTGCAGCATAAACTTCAGTCTGCTTATCAGTATGAATTGTCTCTCTTCAGATTTACTTGCTCTACTACCCCACCAGCACATCTTGAAATGCAACAGTATTGTTTTTATTACATCCCACTATGTTTGCAGTTTGCGTTTTGTTTATGGAAAACTTAAGGGGGGTGGGGTGGGGAAAGACGGCATGCAAGCACACTGGATTTATCACTCCCCCTTTGGAAATATCCCCATTCTTCAGAATCAAAGTCAAAATTTTGCTGGTCAGGACATTCTCCGAGAGCAAGCGCTCACAACACAGTCCAGTGGACTCCTGCCACACAATACAACAAGCAAAGAAATCTTGCTGACTTTTAGTGTGGTCCTTTCTCTGATGTGCTTGGCTAACACTCCAGCCTGAATTGTCATGTTTCCTCTTGACTTTTCCATTTCAGAGCTTGGAGTGAGGCAGCTACATCAAACAGAGTGCCACAGACTAGAGTGGGATTAAATGCAAAGGCAAAAATATATTAAAATGCTTTTGAATTAAATTCACCTTTCTACCTTTATTTAAAATCAGCCTCTGGGCTTCATTTCCGAGCATACATTTTGGGTCTCCAGAAAAGCTTAATGCATTAACTCAGTTTTTATAAGCCTAGGTGGTGGGAAATAGGTATTTGAAATAAACAAGCTGTTAGGACAAGTACATTCTCCAGTTATTAAAAGACGACTGGAAGCCAGGTCCGCAAATACCTGCGACTAACTACCTGACAGTGCTATTCTTCAAGAATAACTGTATGCTTGTTATGTGTAACTTCATATACTCCTTATACTTAATGTTATCGTTGAGTCCAAGCGCATCCCAATTGTACAGACAAAAGTGTTAACATAGGATTTACACTTCTCTCAGTATCTTCCCAGTCAACATTTTCAGGTGCCCTTCCACACTCCAGAGTTAAATGTGTAGTTTCTTACATGTAGTTTCTTACTCTTGGATATTAGAAAGTCTACAGTGATGCTTCTCTGTACACATCCTGATCTGTTGTCTACCAGGATGAACAAAGCTGAATGAATTTTCACAAACACTGCAGAGTTGGCTTCAAGTATTCAAAAGCGAAGAAATCTTCACAGCAATGCAAGGATGACGTTGACAAATACCTGTCGAAAAGACAAGGATACATACCTTGCTGAACAATGGCACTTTATTCCCTGTGCAGAACGGAAAGTTTACTTGATCTAAGTCTGTCCGACATTTCAGTGTAAATAAAAGAGTTCTCTTCAAACTGTTTCCAGAACAGCTGCCATTTCCTTGAACTGTCTGAAGAAGTTCTAAAAAGCAAGAGTTAAGGTAAATTTCAGTTGCTTGAAGAAAAGCTTGAACTGTAGTTCAAACTAGCATGTTGGACAAAAATCACAATCCATGTTTCTCACATTCCCTCTTCAGTTACAGTTTGCAGCTTGAACTGAAAGTTTCTGCTTTTCTTTTTGTGGGCTGGTTGGCATTTGGGCACATTCACTATTAAACCTACACAGGTGATGCCTTATTTGCATGGGTTTGCCTATTAATAGGAGAAGATGCTATGAAAGAAAAATACAAAATAGCTCTCACACAACAACAAAAAACCCACCACCAAAAAGCCTTCTTATGCAAGTGTTTCTATCCCCAGCTGAAATAATCCAGGCTTCTCAAGTATAGCATCCATTTCTGATAGTAGTTGAACAGCAAATTACTAAATAGGTTTCAACCAGAATGAATACATTTTACAACACCTAAGGATTCACAATATCCTTCTCAAATTCCTGCCAGTTCAACTCCAAGGATTTATTTATTTGTAAGCTCGTACCATACTCTATGTGATGTATTTGCCCTTTAAACAGGAATGACAACAGAAGTGCCACATTTATGCAAAATTAAACAAAGTTACATAAGTTCATAGATGAAGGCATAGCAATTAAGAGCCAGTGGTGACAAAGCAGACTGACCTCCATTCCTAATCATTAGTAAATGTTAGGCTTAACCCAAGTTCTAGATTTTGAGGCTGGGGAACAGTTCCATAGATTTAGAATATTCCATTCATTTTGAATAAGGCAGAGTGACAGCTGACAAGAAAGGTCCAAAAGTCTTTGTGTCTTCAGTTGTTAGCTTATTTGTAAGAGAACAGATTAATTACTTCTAAATTAACATTTTTGGGTAAGTGATGTAGAACTAGATGCTATGAAATAAGTATTTAGCTTCAGTGTTTTAAATAATTATTTAATGGTTCATCTTTGAATGACTGTGTTAGTAAATAAGCAACACAAACATATGCATCAAGGTATACCGTTGCTCCTTCACAACAATGTCACTGTTTTAAGAGACTGAATCAAGTAACACTGATTACAGACCTTGAACTGTGGGATCGTCATTTCAAAAGATTTGTCTGTTATTTGTCCCGAAGGGTCTGCCACTTTTAGCGTCACTGTAACATAAGGATACTTCAGAGACCTGCAGGTGTCAGAGCTCATCGCAACTCCCAGTTTCCACTTAATATCGACAAACTACAAAGAAGAAAATCATTGGAAACAGTGTCAAAAGAAGAGATCCAGCCTACCATTGCTATTCTGTTGGATGGGTGTTTTACAGACAATACAGGACATCTAGGGCTCATGTCCAAATGGGAAACAAAACATACACATTCAGATACTACTGTGAATACAAAATCATCTGCCCTTCCTTTTAATAGTGAAAAAATAAGCAATTTAGTAAGTTACTTCACTTAATCCGTTTTCCTTATTCAAGCACTGTCAATAGTCAAGTACAGGCTATTTAAAGTTCTAGTAAGAAGAGCTTGAGCCACAGAGTTGACCTGGCTTGTATATCACTTGTGCTTTTGTCATGTTGTGGGTTTTTTTTTTTTTAAGTTTCTAAATCAAGTGGAAACATGAGAAAAACCTCAGACAGTGCACAAAGGTTTTATAATAGCAATAATGGGAAAAAGTTAAGGCATTTCGTAACTGTATTTTAGATAAATCAAAGTACATCATAAAAACATTTCAGACAGGTAAGTTATCATTTTTAGCCTTTTATGATAGGCAGACCTGTTGAATAAAGAAGTGAAGAGAGCCTTTAGAAGCTTACTATCAAGCCTCAAAGATTTCCCCCCCCCCAATTCCGTACTCTTTTAAACTGTTGTTAGGAAAAAAAAAATCTTAAAATGCAAATACGCTCTGTATTATTTTTTCAAAAAGGAGAAAAAAGGAATGCTGGAAATTGACAGAAAGTATCTTTAAAAAGAGTTTAAACTTAAGGGAGACAAAGCCTTAAACAATCAAGTGCTGGTGTTATCAACTCTAACGAACAATTCAAATTACACTTCAAACAGATTTACATAAACAGCTAATACAATTGTCTGCCACACTGACTGCCACTCACCTTCCCTAATAGTACTATGAAGCACTGATTTTTAAAAAGTTATGAAGTGTGACTTTATCATCCAAACAATAATATTCGAAAACTGTTCAGCATTTAGACAGGCTTTATTGTATATGCTTCTTTATCTGGGTAGACATTTGGAAACATACATCCATATATATATATATAGGAAAGCTTTTGGCAGTCAAGATACCACCATGTGCTTGACAATACAACATACACAATGAAGCACTGACATTTCTGAAAGCTTAATAGTTAGCTCAACTGCACTTTGTCATTTAGTTACCTGCCCCACTGTGGCCATATTTCTTGCATCTTCTGACATACTAATGGATTTGCCCTGCTCATTCCACACATGACGAATAACTTGAACTGCATGTTTTGGCAGCGCGCTGACTGCATTGCCCAAGATGGTGACGAGTTCTTCCGTAGAGAGATTGTTTCTGGCTGCTGTGCTATAGGTATATCCAAAGAAGACCGCATCAATTTAATCTTCCATGAATTTAATAAAATTTCTCACTTCACCCCAAATAGGCAATTTTTATTTCTGCTTTACGTGTCTATATACTTTACAATAATTAGGCAGCCTGTGATTTTTTGTTTTCGTCGCCAGAATATTTTACTAATCTTTTGTATCCGCATGCAAGAAACAACATGACTTGACTTTTAATGTGTCTTAATATGCAGAGACCAAGCTTTGCTGGGCTTGCACAACTCACAGCATTGAAACAAAAATAATCACAGCCTCCAAGTGCTGTTGCAACTGAAAAAAGGCATAATTCAGTGAAAGACGTGTGCACAGAGCAGTTAAACATTATTACTTTAGAAACAAGGCAGTTTAATTAAACATTTAGGAGAGGTAATTTAAGTATCACCAAAAGGCAAGCAAGGACCTCTAGGTAATGGTATAATTGGTACTAACAGGAGGCAAATGATGCAATAAACCCTCAACTGAAAAGGCAGCAAGTCTAGAGGAAAATTGCCACTCAATTTCCTCTACAGAAACAGGTAAAAAAAAATTCCCACCCTAGGTTTGTTCATGCAGATCCACTCCTCTTAAAGAGACATTAAGAAAAAAGACAGTTAGTCCTCCAAGTAGCATGGTCTAATATAATTTAGGGCTTTATATTTTATAGAGGAAAAAGTAGCATGTTGAATTTCTGCTAGTATATTTTCTTCAGTCATATTAATGTTACAACAAATATTTAGATACTAGATATTAAAAGAACAAGCAAGATCTTGAAAATTTTATCTTTCTGAAAATAGAAAAACTTACAGCAAAACAACAGCTGAAAATACTACCTAAAAACCTTTATCATGGCAGAGTTCAACATTATAAAACTGTGTGCCCTTCAAACAGGCACAAATGCTGGTTTCTAATCTCTAAGAAACAAGTTTTTAGAACATGCTTCTTCCAGGCAAAGGCCTAGCTGTCTTAGCTTTAGACCCGAGCTTAACTTCCTCTTATTTTGCCAGTAGTTCCAAAGCTTGCAGCCAGGATCTTAGAACAATTTCCTCTCTTTAGTTTTTTTTTTTTTAATTACAAAAAGTGAGACTATATGTTAACTACAATTTTTTAAAGAACATAAACTGAGCCCAGAAATTATTTTTTTGTGTACTGAGAGCTACAAACTTTTGCCCTTTTCCCAAATCAATTAATTTTATACCCACACTTGATGTCACTTTTAAATACCACTATTAAGTTGGTGTGGAGGGAAAAAAAGACATGAGGCAAAGTAAATTATTTTGTGCTTACCTAAATAGAAAGGAAACAATATTAGCTATTTTTGCCAGGTCACCAACATTAATCTCAATCCCAGATGTTTGAATTCTCTAGAAACAGAACGGTCAAACAATTACAAATAACAATAAATTATGCATTAATAAAACCCTCTTTGTATACACACAAAAAAAAATTGGCTTCGGGAATCTATCCTTTACAGCATATACAGCTAATATACTTGCTCATAGGTGCTAGTGTCCAAACCTACCCGACACAGCTCAGCTGTATTTACACCTGGGATCTTCTGGTTCAGATGTTGAATTATTTGTTCACACTGTAAAGAAAGTAAGTTTGAAAACATTCTTAATGCATATTTTAATATAAAAGACAAAGCTAGTTTGAACACTTGGAGATTACAAAACAAAAAAGAAAACTGGTTAATGCAAAAATGGACAACAGGAGGATGCTTTAAATGCAGGGTAGAGAATAAAGTCATTGAAATGACTGATTTTAAAATTACATCAAATCCAAGAAAAGCAAATAAACTCAGTCAAGACTTTTAGTTATTACCTCACTAGCTATTCCTACTTAACACACCATTTTCGTACTAATTGAACAGTCATCCTGTTCAAGTGCACACTACAGTAAACAAGCTGAATGTTTTCTAAACAAGCTAGCTTGATACCTCATTTAGATGAAAGGCAAAAATACATTTTTAAAAATCTTTTGTGATAAAAACATAAATTTAAAGCAATCCTATGGCTCTTAGCAGGACGGGTCCACTTTATGAGTCACGTATGTCTAAGCTACCGCATACATAAGGTTCCCTTTGCAAGAGATAAAAACAAGAAGAGCTTAAACAAAAAGGTTTCCTAGAATCAAAGCGTGCCAGAAGCCCTTCCACATCGCATTTATTGCCCTGCTTACCAGTTCTGCAAAAAAGTCTTGAGGTATTAAATTAATCTTATCTGCTGCACCACCAACATCTGAAAAACACAAGCAGCAGTGAACAGAAGCAAATCCTTAAAGCGTTATAGTAATAAATCTAATCTCTCTCTGAAGAATTCCTAGGTCATCATGCATGCATTTAGCTTAAAAGCAAAGCTTTCTTTAAGGGAGTTTGTCTCGAATTTCATTAACATAACCTGCTCATCATCTCAAGTCAAGTCCAATAGGAGCGACTCCATAAGGCCTCAGAGCCCCAGACGGAGTCTATGCAATCGCACGGTTTGACAGCCCTGAAAAACTCCCCCGACCCTGTGGAGCTGTATCCGCACCGGGCCCCCCAGCTCACCGGGAAGCCGGCCGGGGCCGGCCCTCCGCTCCGGCACCAGCAGCACGGGACCG